GGACCTCAATTGGGGAATTGCCTCCATTGGACTGGCCTGTGGGCATGTCTGTGGGGCATCATCTTGATTATTGAGTGATGTGGGAGGGCCCAGCCCACTGTAGGTGGTGCCACCCCTGGGCAGTTGGGCCTGTGTTGTATAAGTAAGCAGGCTGAGCATGGGTCAGGAGAGCAAGCCAGTAAGTAGCATTCCTCCATGGCCTGTGCTTCAGCTCCTGCCTCCAGGTTCCTGCCCTGAGTTCCTACCTTGGGCTCCCTGATGAATTGTGACCCGGGAGATGTAAGCCAAATAAATCCTTTCCTCCCCATGTTGGTAGTGATCAGAGTGTTTTGTCACAGCGGAGAAACAAACTAGGACAACAGGTACTAGATGAAATTGTTCTTCATAAATTAGGAGACATGCAGCTTTTGTGTGTGTGTGTGTAATCTGTTCTATTATCAAAAAGACTTTCCTCAAAAAGTATATAACTGAAACATGATACACCAACTATATGCTATACAAAGCAGAGATACTTATACTCTGATACCCCTTAGACCTGATCAGCTTGATAACCTCTTGCCCTATGCCTCATGCTTTTGAAATCCCCTCCTTTGACCATGATTACCCCCTTTTGTCATAATTTTTCACACTTTGACACAAACCGAGACATACTTGGGAAGAGAAACTCTCAGTTGAGGAATTTCCTCCAGATTGGCCTGTGGGCATGTCTGTGGGACATTTTCTTGATTGCTAAAATTGATATTTGTGGGCCCAGCCTACTGTGGGTGGTGCTGTCCCTGGGAAGGTAGACCTGGGCTGTATGGAAAGATAGGGAAGCAAGCCAGTAAGTAGCATTCCTCCATGGTCTCTGCCTCAGCTCTTGCTTTAAGTTCCTTCCTTCAGTTCCTGGCTTTACTTTCCTCAGCTATGGATTGTGATCTGGGAGTTGTAAAATGAAATAAACCTTTTCCTCCCCAAGTTGGTTTTGGTCTGTGTTCAGTCACAGCAAACTAGAACACCCTTAAAGACTGCTTTCAAGTACCTTGACAAAATGTTCTGAAGCTGCTAACAGGCCTATAAAACATGCTTCATGAGCTTGGCTGCCGGAAGATGGATCAAACCATCGAGTCTCCCCCTAAGTCCCTGGCATGGCCATAGAGATGGTTTGAGAAGGCTGTTCACAGAGCCTGCGTACTAGATTGAGTATTTTTGCACAAGATTTGCTAACGTGCAGGAAAAGACTGGTATATAGGGTGAACTTGAGTCAGAGTCTTCCCTTTGTATTCTTGTATTAGTTCTAAAACTGTCAGAGGCAGATCTACCCTAAGGAGACTTTTTGTTTTGACTCTTTCGGGGTCTGTATTAAGGAGAAATTTTTCTTCATCCTCATTTTGAGGCTAAATGTATCAGGCTCTACATAAAGTCCAATTGATGTTTGAAAATAATTCTCAGTGTTGGCTGGAGTAGTGGATTGGAGGTTCGCTGAAGGGAGGCTCTCTCAGGTGCTGCTTTGTGTCTCCTGAGTAGATGCTGCTGCTGATGCTTTGTGAAAGGGAGGAAGGTTTCTGCTGACACAGTATGTTTTTATGAAAGAAGGTGAAGGGTGCCCTTATCTCTCCATACAAGGCACAGCTGCCTGTTAACAGGCTGTCTGCTGCTTAGGGAGTCCTTCGTTCTCTCTTTTCTGAAGGTTTGAAGGAGCAGTTTGGTGCATTCCTTTTCTGTTTTCTAGAGCCAGGGGAAAGCCACAATACATCTGGGCTTTTGCTGAATAGCCTAAAATAGGTGCTCACAGCTGAGATGTGGAAGAGAGAGCTTTCCAGGAACAAGTGACCAGCTTGTTTAGCCATTGAGAAACAGGTTAGAGGAATGATACCACCATCAGGCTCGTCTCATCATCTTGCAAAACCATGATTATGCCTGGCAGCTTAACCGTTTTTCTGCTACTTAAGGTCTCCTTCTCCCTGGTATGTGAGCTCTAGATTTCTGTGCCCTACTGTCAGCTGTTAAAGACTTAAACAAGTAGAGAAATTAGGGGAATTATAAACCGTCATTTAAAAAGTAGAAATTAATAAATAAGCTTGCAATGCAAATGTGATCTGAATTGTAGTCAGAGAACACATTTAAAGCAGGTATTGGTCATGGTCATGTGATACTGGACCTTATACCTTGTAGTCTTAGGAGGGGAAGGAGGTTAAAGTGAGAAGACTTAGCCTTTACTGGATTTTAGAGGGATTTTCCTGTTTGTTTTTGAAACAGGGTCTCACTTTGTAGCAGTAGCTGGCCTGGAACTCGCTGTGTAGACCAAGCTGACCTTGAACCCACAGAGATCCACCTGCCTTTGTCTCCCAAGGCATGTGTCATCCGTACCCAGCCTTTTAGTATATTTTAATTCACATAATGGAATCTTAGAAATTATTACTTGGTTTGGAGGAATTGAAAATGATTTTACAAGTTTGGAGTTACTTGTTTGGAGTACATTTATTTACTTATTTATTTTGTATGAATGTTTTGCTTGCATGTATTTAAGTGTACCGTGTATATGTAGGCCCTTCTGAGACCATAAGAGAGCATCTGTAACTAAAGTTACAGATAGTTGTGAGCTGCCATGTGGGTGCTAGGAACTGAACCGAGGTTCTGTGCAAGAGCAGCCACTGCTCTTTAACTGCTGAGCCATCTTTCCAGCCCCTAGAGGCTGTCTTATAATTGATCATGAGACCAGTTTTGATAAGAGGTACTTGTAGTGTTTGTTTATTATTGCACTTTAAAAAGATTATTTATTTTGTGGATGAGTGTTCTGTCTGCATCTGAGTACACCCATGTGGTGTAATGCCTGTGGAGGCCAGAAGAGGGTGTCAGATCCCCTGGAACTGGAGTTGGGGATGATTATTAGCTGCCATGTGGGTGCTGGGAACTGAGCCTGGGTCCTCTGCAAGAGCAGTGCTCTTAACTGCTGAACCATCTTTCCAGCTCTTCTTGTACTTCTTAATTATCTCTTCTCCCATAAAAATGATAAGCATCCTTAGGCTTATTTCCTTACTGATAAAACAAGTGTTCCTAACTTATAGAATTACTGAAATTAAAAAAAATTGGTGTTATGCATTATTGAGCTTTTGCTATACATGCAAATTATTAGGGCATTTATTAATGTTTTATGTTTAGTTATTCATTTTTCAGTAGGTATTTTATACCTTTGTTTTTAACATCACCTTAAAAAGTTTTCTTTTAATATTATGAGAGCGAGAGAGAGAGTGATAGCGAACAAGTGGGGGGGGGATATGCAGGCATGTATGCCACGGTGCAGGAGTGCATGTGTGGAGATCAGAGGACAACTTTGTGGAATTCGTTCTCCTTCCACCTTTGAGAGGGTTCCAGGGATCCAATTCAAGTCATTAGACTTTCATCCATTGGAGTGGCAATGACTTTATCTGCTGAACCATCTCACCCTGTTTTTAACACCACTTTCTTTTTTTTTCTTTTTCTTTTTCTTTTTGAGACAGGGTCTCCCTCTGGCTCCAGTTGGCCTGGAACCCGCTATGTAACGCTGGCCTTGAACTCACAGAGATCTGTCTGCCTCTGCCTTCCACATGCTGGGATTAAAGGCAGTCACTACCACACCCTGCACACCACACCTGCATACCACCTTCTTGAAGCAGGGTATAAGAGAGATTAAAAAATAGTTCTTTTAAGGAAATAAAAACATCATGAGAGAAACAGACAGTAATAATAAAATTCATGCTTTATTCTTTTTATCCAGTGCTAGGTCCTGTTTTAAGTATCTTGGTGTACATCGAATCAACTAATTTTGCTATAAGTGTATGAAATGTTTACTACCTAGCTTCATTTTATAGAGATAAAGAATCAGACATAGGAGGTGAAGTATCTTGCCTAAGGTCACACAAATGATTAGAGTTGGCATTTGAAGCCAAGACAGTAAGCCACTCTAGTCTGTGTGCTTTTACAGTGGTTGCTAGCCATGTGTGGCTTTGGAGTGCTTGAAGGATGGCTAGTCCAGGTTGAATTGGGCTATGTGAATAAGCACTAGATTTCAAAGACCGAGTAGTGATGTTTCAGGGAGCAAAAGGTATGTGTGTGTGGAGGGGGGCTGGTAAAAGAGGTAGTGCATTAGGAAAGGACAGACTCCCAAGAGAAGAAATGGGCAAGAGCAGACTAAGGTGAGAAGCTCAGAAGGCCAGACCTTATATTGACATTACATGTTGCTGATAATATTTTAGACATCCTGATTTAAGTAAAATATATTGAAATTGATTTTTCTTTTTTATTATAGCTGCTATAGAATTCAAGATTACATAGAGGTTTGCCTTTGGGGTGCTTACATTGCATTTTCTTGAATCATACTCCCCTAAATAATAAGCAAGTGACATTTTAGAGCATTTGCTATGTGCCATATATTCTTCTAATATTTTTGCAAATATTAGGCCTCATAACAGCCTTGTATATTATCCCTATTTTATAGAGAAAATCTTGAAAAATTCAGTAATTTGCCCTAAGTTAGTCAACTGATTAGTGACAGACTGAAATGAAACCTGTGTCTAACTCAAAAACTTGTGCTTTTAGCTAGCATACACTAATTCCATTTGCATTTAAATCTCTTTATTTTCATAAACATATTTAGTATTGTGTGCTTCTGTGTCAAAAACATAAAACTTCAAGATAAAAATCAATAGGCCATAAGACAAAAATCTCATGGAGGGCCTTGGCTGTATGTGAACAATTGAGTCCGAGATGAAGCAGTGAAGTAAGCCTGTACAAATTATGTTTAATTTTCATTCTAATAGTTCTCTTAGGTCATTTGATAATTTGTGCCTTGATCTTCTTTGTTCATGAGTAGGGGAAGAGGGATAGCACAACCTTCAGTAGTCCTTCAGTTCTCATGGCTGATAAGAAGAAACATTTGCTTTCCCTCTTAACTGTCCTTACTGCCCTCTTAAATGTTATTTGTGTTGGAGAGAGCACCAACATGACTACCTAGTGACTCTTGGCTTTTTTTCTTCTTCTAGAGCAAAGACTCAGGCGGGCTGAAGGCAGCTATGATAGAGTTGGTGGAAAGGTTAAAGTTCAAGAGCTCGGACCCTAAGGTAAGTACTGTTTTGGAATTGATTGGGTATTGGTACCCCAAGCATTTTGTTCTCCTTAAGTTCAAAGAGTGTTAATGATCTTCTACCTGAACCTTATATTAAGATCTAATTAAGCCTTCCCATCAAAAATAGTGTTCTAATATGCCTGGAGAAAAGTCATCTATTTCCCCTTCTTGATTTTATGACTTACAACACATAATCATTAATTGTTTTTCCTGAATTGCAGAGAAGTGCATTTTTAATCTTTCTTTACTGGACCTTTGAGATTTCTGTCCTCTGTGTGCATTAAATCTAGCCAAAGGCATCCGAGATACTGATCAGCATAATGCTGGGCACCAGAACAAGAGCCAGACCCAGGTGGTGCTCAGAACTAATGTTTTGTCTCTCCCTGGCTTATGGGAGTCAACTGCCCTGAGCATGCCCTTGTCCTCGTGACCTGCAGTCTTGTCCAGGAATTGGTTTGAATATCATAGGTTTTTTGCAAGATGTTGAGGGTTGAAGGATTGATATTCTGGGAGATGTCATACCAGAGTGGGGGTGGACTGCGAGCTGAACATGCTGAAAGGATTGTGACTAACAGTTTCTTCTTCCTTCTGAGATACTTGATGTAGCACTACCTGGTAGCTGACTCTGCTTGAGACTCAAAGCCTCTCACAGTTCAGTATGGAAGGGGTGTGATTTTATTTTTGTGTGTCCTCCCCCCACTTTTTTTTTCTCACCAGTTCTTTATAGGAGCATCTGAGAGCCCAGCCTGTGCAAGTTGTGATAAATATACAGAGCAAAATTTTAACCATTTCAAATGTATATTTCAGTTGTGTTAGGTACATTTATAGTGTTATACAGTCATTACCACAGTACATCTCCAGTATGTGTTCATTGTCCCACACTGAAACTCTGTCCTTTTAAAAAAATATTTATTTTATTTTATGTGTGTGATTATATTTCCTGCATATAAGTGCACCGTGTCATCCAATGCCCTCAGAGGTCAGAAGAAGGTGTTGAACCCCCTGGAACTGGAGTTTCATATAGATGGTTGTTAGCCACCATGTGGGTGCTAGAAATCAAACCCAGGTCCTCTTCAAGAGCAGCCAGCGTGCTTAGCTGCTGAGCCGTGAAACTCTGTCCTTATTAAACATGTAATTTCTCATTCTCCCCTTCCGTGCTTTTGATTGTTAAAATACCCTGTAAAGTAGTTCCTTATTCCTATTTTATTTATTTTAAGGACACAGAGGCTTAGAGAAATAGTTATTTACTCCAAATCTAGTACGGTGGAGATACTCTTGATTTCATCTCATACTGTAAGCCAAGAGTCCCGGATCTTATCTTTCTGCTAAATAATCATGTTGTGCCTCTCAGTTTTGTAAGCTGAAACATTGTCATAAGGCAAATCCAAGGACATTGACAGACTCTTTGAATGGCAGGTACAAAATGAAACAAAAATCAAAAAAACAGTAGGTGCAGCTACTAGTCTATAAAATAATTTTTTTCGTATGACACTAAAAATATTGATATTAATACTGTCTCCTGTCTTCTTGAGTAGTTAAGATCCTAGAAGTAGTGAGCATCTTGATAGGAAAAAAAATGGTGTCATTTTAATCAGTTATTCTACCTCAGTAGGAAGACTTCTGACATAAGTAGATTTCCCATTGGCAAAGATGAATCAATTAATTATTAAAGAAAACTGAAAACACTTTCAACAGTTTCTTTGGTTTTGGGATAACAGCTGTGCTGCAGGAAACCAAGTCTATTTTCTATCTCTGCCACACCTGTGTGTTTAATATTAGCAAGGCAGTGAAAAGGAAGTGATGATACAGGAAAAGTGCTTTGACTCCCTTATGAATACATGTAGTGCTTCTACCAGAAACTTGCTAGAGGTGAAAGGATTGAGTGGTCCCAGGAGAGAAATCCAAGGACAACTCAGGGATTCCCCATGATGCATGCACTATAAACTAAACTAGTTGTAAGGACCTGACTTGATTTTTAGATATGTGTGTACACTTTTTTATCTTCAAGCCCTTCTTAGTCTGCCTCATGCATATATACGCTTGAATATAGGTGGACATAGCTTGAGGAAGGGTGAGGTAAATGACTGCCAGGTCAGGAAAGAGGGTGAAAAACAGCTTACTGAAGTATAAATTTTTCACTTGCCCAGAAATTGGAACTGGAGAGATAGTTCCGTGGTTAGAGCTCTTACTTGCTCCCGCAGAGGACCTGGTTTTGGCTTCTAGCAACTCACATGGCAGCTAACACCTCTTCTTAACTCCAGTTCCAGGGGATCGTGCCCTCTTCTGGCCTCCATGGGCACCAGACATGCAGACAAAACACTTATCCATATTTAAAAAGTAATAAAATCTTTAAAAAGAAATTTGCCCAGAAATTAATTGGTTTCTTCCAAGAGAGCTTTTAAGTTTTCTGTCTGCTTTGTTTTCCTGCAGCACCCTACCATTTCCTTGTTAGATTGGCCTGTTTAGGAAAGGTGGAATATCTCAGGCTTTGTGATCGGTCATTTCCTGTCACAGCTGCTTTACGTAGAAGCACTGATTGAGTCAATAGAGGATCAAGCATTGTCTCTTTCTTACTTCCTCTAGAATTCCCTAAAGTATCACAAAGCTTGATTAGTCCAGACACTGACGTCTACTGGGGACTGACTTAACTTTTAACTCTGTGTTTTGCCAAAGAGAAGTGAAAGATGCCTAGATTAACTGTTTTCTAAAACTATAAAATAATATATGCTTATAGTCAAAAAATACAGATATTTATAAAGGAAAATTAAAGTGAATGCATCCCAAATTAACTATGACTATTGATAGTTTGGTATATAACCTTCTAAATAATTTTTCATTTAAAAATTTTTTTGTAAAAATTATACTGTATCTATGGTTTTATATTGCTGTTTTCATTATGCAGAATATTATTCACAGCTTTTCTCTGTTGACAGATGTCAATTATTTCTATTGAAATGCTTCATATCCTAGTTAGCTTTAATTGTCAACTTGACACAGCCTAGAGTCATCTGAGACGAAAACTTTCATTAAGGAATTGCCTAGATCAGACCAGCCTGTGAGCATGTCTGTGGGGGATTGTCTTGCTTGTTAATTTATGCAGGAGGGACCCATTGTGGTTAGCAGTGTACCTAGGCTATATAAAAAAGCTAAGGGGCTGGAGAGATGGCTGAGCACTTCTTGTTCTTCCAGAGGACCCATGTTTGTTCCCAGCACCCACATGGCAGCTAGTAACTACCTATAACTCTAGTTTCAGAGGATCCAACTCCCATTTCTGGCCTTTGTGGGCACTGCACAGAAGTGGTGCACCTACGTACTTGCTTGTAAAACACTCATACACATAAAAAAAATAATCTTTTCTTTCTTCTTTTTCACTTTATTTTATTTTATTATTTTTATTTTATGTATATGCATGTATTGCTTGCGTGTAGGTAAGTGTGCTCGTGTAGTGCAGTGCCCACAGAAACCAGAAGAGGCTGTCAGATCCCTTGGGACTGGAGTTACTGATAGGTGTTAGCTGCCATGTGGGTGCTGGGATTCGAACCCAGGTCTTCTATAAGAACACCAGTGTTTCTTAAGAAAGAAAGCTAGCTAACATGAGCCTGTGAAGGAGCCAGCAAGCAGCATTCCTTTGTTCCTTCATGGTTTCTGCTTCAAGCTTGTGCTTGAGTTCCTACTCTGACTTCCCTGAGTGATTCACTATGATCTGTAAGCCAAATAAACCCTTTCCTCTTTTGGTCAGAGTGTTTTATCACAGCAAAGAAAGGGAAACTAGAACACTTAATTTTATCCTAAACATGTGAGACACCAGTGCACTTACATACATACATGCAGTACACATAAACACATAAAATAAAAATAATAAATTAAAAAAAATGATTTTTGGGAAGTCAGCTTTTAGATAAACTGTCCAGATATGTTTGACATGATTCATTCAGTTTTCAAAAAATTCTTTTATTAGCCAAACTTTCCAAAATATCTGTTGCACAAAGCAGGATTTTGGAGTGTAGATTTATCACATTTTATGCTCAGCTTTAGAAAAATTAAAAGATAACAAGCTACTGGTAGGGTGTTGGGCCTATTATCCCAGTACTTAAAACTAAAAGAGGGTTGCATCATGGGTTCTAGGCCAACCTGACCTATACAGTGAGACCCTGCCTCAAAAAACAAGCAAACAAAAAGATGTTGTCAGTTAGGAACATGTATGTGGTGGCAGTGGTAAGCCACCTGAACTTTTAATTTAAAGCTGAGGGTTTTTTTTATATTCATAGATTTCTTGAATGACTTCATCATTTATCTAGAGGGAACTGAGGCTCAGCTTGGTACATAAGGACAATATATATATTTCTGTTGGTGATGTAGCGCTATCCTTTTTCTGTGGAAAATGGGATATACCCTTACACAGATTTCATTTGTCAACTTTTCTCATAAAAGGGTAATTTTTCTTGTGTCAAATAATCATCTCAGTGTTGGAAATGGTGGTATTTGCTCATCATTTCAGGATTCAGGAGGCTGAGGCAGGAGAATTACTATGAGCTAAAGATCAACCTGGACTACATAGTGAGATCCTGTCTTCAGAACAAAACAAAGTAAAATGATAACAAAACAACAAGATAATTTAACAATGAGGCATATTTTAGGTTAACATTTTATTACCCTACAGACATTTCAAGATATCATGTTCTAAATCCCTTAAATGAGTAAAAAGTGCTATTCACAAAGACCCCATATTGTATGATTCTACATATGTAAATGCTCAGATTAGGCAAATTTATAGAACTAGAGAGTAGACTTGGTGTTATCTAAGGCTGAGAGGGGTGGTGGTGACAGCTAATAAGCAAAAGGTTTCTTTGGGGAATAAGATTGATGGTGGTGGTGGTGGTTGCATAACTCTGAATATACTAACAACCTGAATATGAGAAAACTGAAATGTGTAATGAATTGTGAGACCTGTGAATTAGCTGGTGTGTGTGTGTGTGTGTGTGTGTGTGTGTGTGT